CCCAGGCTCCTAAGGTTCAGTAGACAGGCAGCTGGCAGCTGTCCTCTCCCCATGCCCCCAGCAGCCTGGGCACTCCATCCCTGTCCCCAGCTCTGTCCACTTAAACCACATACTGAGCATTGGAACCCCAAAGGGCTCCAGGTCTGAAATCTGCAAATCCCACTCTCACATTCCGGTCACAGTCTAATCCTGAGACTGAGGCAAGATGACCCATCCCAGGGAACCTCTGCCTGCCCTCCAGCCCTCAGCTGTGTGGCCCAGCTGGGACATCCCTCCTGCACAGCTCTGTGGGGCTCTGCAGGGAAAGGGCCGCCCCCTGGTGGGCCAACTTCCCCACAGACCCTGAGGCTCCTCTTAGGACCCCTGCATGTCTCCTTCCCACATCCCCTCACTCCTGGCTAGCCCGTGCCTTCTCCCCCTCAAAGAGAACTCCCTCCTCTCTTCTCTCAACCCCAACCAGATCATTCCCAAAGCCACCTCTGTGTCCCGTCCCCTCCTGTGTCAGTCCTCCTCTGCTCCCAAGGGACAGCCTCTTTCCCCCTCCCCTCATCTTGTCCCCATCAACCCTCCCCTCTGTGTTGGTGACAGAGGACAGGGACAGGAAGGAAGAGATGGACAGAGGTTTACAGACAGTGCTGATGGGAATTGCCTCTGAATTGGACTCAGAATGAGAAGGAGGGAATTCAAGGATGTCTTCTCCACCCAATGTCCCTCAGGCAACTCAAATCCAAAGTGCCTGAAGCTGAACTCACCTGAAAACTCAGGCACTTCGCCCCTCTCATTTTATCTTAGGCCTCATGAAGCACAAGTTCAATAGTAACAAAACTTGAAGTATCATCTTCCCATCTTCCTCCCCACTAAGCCATCCTTTCTCCTCCTTCTCTTCCCTCTTCACCCTTGTCTCCTTTGTCCCCAGAGGAGGACACCACACCCACTCCACTGCCTAGGCCTAAGCCCCAGGCATCTGTCCCACTCTGCATTTACCTCCTACATCCAAAAGGCCACCAAGTTCAGGAATCAGGAACCTCACAGACCACCTTTGAACCTGACCTTCCCTCCATCTGCCCAAACC